TCTAACATACGAATCTCCTCGCCAAGCTCCTTCGTGTATGGTTAGCAAATTAGCTCGACTAACTGGATTAAAAGTTGCTAGATTCCAGTGCGCCTTGATGGCTTTGTTTCAGACCCAGGACATCACCGCAAGATTTCCTCAAGGACCAGTGTACTGTCGTCTGTTTATTCCTGTATTCACACCCTTGCAGACGATGGCAGTCATCACCCTTCATTCTACCGTTCCAACAACAACGCAACGACCGTGATCAACCCATTACAATACCGAACACTGATGTTACCCAAATTCTCGACATGTCCACTAGAAATACGCTCAGTTGTCAAAATCTGATGTATCCGTCATCATCGTTCCCTGCACAGCTGTAACCTTTCGATTGAACTCTCCTTGCTCATCTCTTGTCGTCTCACGTCTATTAACAATCTTTCTCAGTCCACCCACGTCAAACTTCTTGCAAATCATGCTTCCAGGACTCTTACCTTTCTAGTTCGAGCTTCATGTTTGCTGAATTTGTGATGTCATAATCGTCCCACTTGGCAATGGTGTTATCATGGTTGAAGTGGATCTTCTTGGTCTTCGTTTCCCCTGTTTGCGCGCCTCATTGGCACACTGTTTCTGGCCGGTAAGCTGGTAAATCTCTGTCACCGCTAAGGCGCGGCTCCTCGTACTTTTTCCTGACAACACCAGCACGGTTAATTTTCTTCAGGACTCGCGTCCTCTATTTCTGTACCCCAGTCTTCGAGCCATACCATCCACCCATTCAATTCCATCCATCCTGGCTAGGTTTCAGTCCCGTGTTGCAACCCTCGTAATCCTGGAAGAATTCACATATCCTGTTCCCCCCCAAGCCTGGCCCCCCGTTTGACCCCAACAGTGGTCGTCCGATTTTCATTTCCCTTATTCTATCCAAAGTTATGGAGTTCATTCTTTCCACGCAACTTGTGTGCCACGTTGAGGACAGTGCCCTCATGCGTCATCATCAGTATGGTGTTCAGACCCCACCACTCCACTGCCAACATACTGAACCATGTGCTTGGTTACCCTCTCCCGACTCATTTAGTAAAACGGAGCTGGTTTCTGGTGACATTTCCAAAGCATTGGATTGTATCTAACATACGAATCTCCTCGCCAAGCTCCTTCGTGTATGGTTAGCAAATTAGCTCGACTAACTGGATTAAAAGTTGCTAGATTCCAGTGCGCCTTGATGGCTTTGTTTCAGACCCAGGACATCACCGCAAGATTTCCTCAAGGACCAGTGTACTGTCGTCTGTTTATTCCTGTATTCACACCCTTGCAGACGATGGCAGTCATCACCCTTCATTCTACCGTTCCAACAACAACGCAACGACCGTGATCAACCCATTACAATACCGAACACTGATGTTACCCAAATTCTCGACATGTCCACTAGAAATACGCTCAGTTGTCAAAATCTGATGTATCCGTCATCATCGTTCCCTGCACAGCTGTAACCTTTCGATTGAACTCTCCTTGCTCATCTCTTGTCGTCTCACGTCTATTAACAATCTTTCTCAGTCCACCCACGTCAAACTTCTTGCAAATCATGCTTCCAGGACTCTTACCTTTCTAGTTCGAGCTTCATGTTTGCTGAATTTGTGATGTCATAATCGTCCCACTTGGCAATGGTGTTATCATGGTTGAAGTGGATCTTCTTGGTCTTCGTTTCCCCTGTTTGCGCGCCTCATTGGCACACTGTTTCTGGCCGGTAAGCTGGTAAATCTCTGTCACCGCTAAGGCGCGGCTCCTCGTACTTTTTCCTGACAACACCAGCACGGTTAATTTTCTTCAGGACTCGCGTCCTCTATTTCTGTACCCCAGTCTTCGAGCCATACCATCCACCCATTCAATTCCATCCATCCTGGCTAGGTTTCAGTCCCGTGTTGCAACCCTCCCCCCCCCACCACCAGAATAGCCTGGCTCTGGAACGGCTTATCTCTCTGTGGTCTCACACTCTTACAACCCACATGTCTTCGAACGCTCCTCAGTCTTCCCTGGCATCTATGTTTCCAGATGTTATCCTTGTATGTATTGCGCTTTTACGAGGGCCTCCCACTGTTAGCTGTCCATCCGTATTTCACTTTCATGTGAGTGATAACTCAGTGATTAAGGCGCCAACTTACTGACCGAATCCAACCGCAGCATCTCGACTGCTCCTGTCTAGGTTTGCGTAACCTGACAGTATCTCAGACCTTGAGCTCCCTTCAGGTGGCATGGTGGCTGGTCTCTGGAAGGGTGTTACAGCTGAGTGATTCCTGTGAAATGTGCTATCCGAAAACCAGGGTTATGCACAGACGTCAGAGCAACTGGTTAGCGTCATTCTCTTTTAACCTAAGCTTTACTCCTACGATATTCAACCAGGCTATAAAGAATACTTTTTCCGACTATAATTGCGTTGATCCAAGGGGAGGTATTAGAGGGTGAAGTAATTTGTGTATCTCCAAAGGATCTTACAACACCCATGACAACAGTTGTAGCCACGGTTCAACTCTAGCTGTCACCTTCAACACTACATATTTCCCCCAATCTATTGGTTGCCGGTAGACGTAACTGCGGCAGCTCGAAACACTGTTCCGTTTACTGATAACCGATTATGCCATATAGTCCCAAAATTAGTATTTAGGGGCAAGAATGCGTTCAGTGGTTGGTTTAGTGGATCACAAGATATATTCAGCCTAACTAGCGGCATTTGGTTCGCGCCTAACAGACAGGCTTGCTCAATACACATTGGATCAATACAGCTAGTCGTTATATGGTGGGGGCCGGTAGTTCATGTTATAGTTGACAATTCGTCTATCAGGTCACGTGACCCAGGTGGTTCTGAGCTATAAGTAACAATGACTGTGTTAACTAAATCTTACCTGATTGCCAAGGCATCAATGTAACTGTTCTCCCCGGTTTTATGACGGCTCCCTCCATGAATGACACTGTCTTCTTCGATCTGTTGACCCAGTTTGACTTCCACCTCACCGTGCAAAAAAGGCTCAGGAACATTGGTTCTTTTTTCTCCTTCAACTTGTTGTTTTCAGGATTATCGTTGTTCCAGCAGCCATATTCTGTATTCTGTAATTCATAACTGCTTTGTCCTTGAAGTAGAATCAAAAAGTCTCCTTATGACGACCGTTATGCCTACTTGTATGGCTAGCCATGGGATGATCTTGTCCTTTATAAATTACGAGCTATTGTTGAATTTCCGCATCTTGGGGATAAGATCAATAAAGTGATTTTTAGATACACTAAAAATTCTTCCTAAACAGTTTCTCTGCGTCACTTTTTGCTCTGTTCTTCAACATGTAATCGTCCCGACTCCCACTTCATCAGAAAACAATCAACTCCTTAATAATTCTTCCCTCCAGCGTGTGGTTGTCCTCTCCTTATCCTCTCTGTAATCGAGGGGTCAAAGTATGGCATCTGACATCAAAGTCCCCTGAGCCCGTAGTTTATGGCTGGATAATCGGGCTGAAATGAACTGGATTAGTTATTCACATTGCATCAGTCATGTGACTCCATATCTCTGTGCACGTTTCGGTAATATTTGCCGTCGTTGGTTTGTTCGCTGATCTAGGTAGTTTGATCGCAAACGTTTCATCACCAATTGAGGTGATATCATTGGTGCGTTGTTAGGGCTTGTAGCGAATGGGTCGATGGTTGTGCCAGTATCCTATCAACAGCAACCGGAAGTCTGGATCCCTGGGGTAACCATGTTCTACAAATGGTTGCTAGTTAGCGCCAGGATCCACCTCTACTTGGTTTGCTTGCCGGTTTGAGTATCCACTGGTTGGCAGTGGGTAATTACTGGACAACTTCTCATTTGACTGGTTAATAGTGTTCCGGACTTGAGAAGTCTTTTGTTAGACATAGAGGTTGATTGCTTGCATCTGCAGTCAACGTAATCGTTACTCTCGTAACTTGTTTTGTTGCTTCGCCCTCGATCCTACCTCCTCCCAATCATACTTTTGTCTGCTAGTGATAACGACTGTACCGCACACTTAGTCGATGTTGGTGGCTATTTTCTGCGTTTCTAGACAACCTCAGATCGGGATAACGGCTGTGTTTTGCCGTCTGCGCTGAACTCTATCCTCTCCTATTTAACCCATTTGGCCTAATAAACACCATATCAAGATGTTTGCCTTGCAATAGAAAAGTAGCTGCAAGGTTGCCATTAGCAAATTGTTCTTGCATTGAGCATTGACCGTTGCCTATCTGGCTGCATTCGATTGTGGCTTTTGCTCCAGTGACTTGTTCGAAATTGTCCAATAAAAGAACCGACATGTATCTACCGTTGGGTTTCGGTGCATCTGCATGAAACCGTCGTTCAGTGCAACGTAGTCCTGATTAAGTGGGGTTTGCGTGGCTGTCAACATACGCCAACCAATTTGTGGCATCCCCATATTTCTTGGTACAAAGTTTTACATGCCGTATACAAACATCTGGTGTGATGCTGAACATCCAATAGATTCATCTCAAAATGCACGTATCTTATACTTGTCTGTCTCTTGAGAGTGAATATTACGTCTCCATCTTTAAACTGACTTTCTAACCTCATACCTCGTACCATATCCCAGCAATGTAACTTGAAATGTCTGTTCGTATCACGCATTCCACTGCGTAATGATCGTACGATCATATTCCGAACGCATACTTCGTCGCTGTATGAAGCTCGTCCTATTTCACTCGCACGGAAGATAACTGTTGTTTTGTGGTCTGACAATATTCATGCACACAAACCCAACTGGCCTTGCGGAGGCTTGACAGTGCTTGGCTAGATTCCGGTCCAGTGTTGGTTTGACTGTCTCCAATAACCTACCCTCCATACGCTTCTAACAGTGCCTGGTACTGTCTGTGTCGCCCTTCTCTGTTTTTCACACACCCGTAGTGTCTATAAGGGTATCGCACACAGACTATGGAGCTGTCTACTTGTTAGCATCACTGTGGTGAACATTGCCTGCAACGCTGAATGACTTTATTCTTTCTCGTCCTTACAGGTTATTGTGCCAAAGGATTCCACCAGGGACAACGCCCCACTGAACCTTTCCCCACGTCACTCGACGGATGTACCATGTCATTCAAATTTGAACAGCCGATTCGCCGACTCCTGGGATACGATAAGCACAACATCTGGAGATGATACTGCAGTTCGCCCCCTCCCATTAGAGAATGCTTCCCAATGTCGCCTGGTGACCGGTGGTAGTATGGATGTGAACATTAGTCTCCTATTTCGTCTGCTGGCTCAGGTGCTGCTCGTGCCAAAGATGTCTTCATACAGACAGTCAACAGGTTAGGACGTTTGCTCTCTTAGGCAACACTGATCGACACCCGTCAAGATGTACGAACTCCGATTAGCATTGTTCACATTTCCACCGACGGTCTCTGAGCTCATTATTTTTTATACTCCTATCTATCACAACCATCTCATTGTACCCTCTTAAAGAGCTGATTCTCGACTTCTTAGCCTCCAGAAACGGGAACAAGACCGTGAACGGTGGTCAAGTGCTTCATACCCGGTCCACCACCGTCCCAACTTTATGGTCTTTCATTTTCTCCTCAACTCCCACGCGGCTTACATGCGCTGACAATTTTTGTGGCCTTTGTTCCCTTTATTTTGGTTTTCCAGTATGCGCGCTTCTGTGCATTCTTTTTAACGCTTGTGTTGCCTTTTGGAATACGGCGCTGAACCAGAGGACAGTGCAACTTAGACAATGTTCCTCAGGTATCATCAAATTGGTTGTCCGATTGTTTTAAACAGAAACACAAAATCGAATACTTGATGCCGCCAGATTTTCGCCTCATTCCCATTTTGTTGGCGCCGGTAAAAACCGTTGACTGCTCCTGGCTGATCTCCTTTAGGATTCAGCCAAAAGTGAATTATCTCGAATGACCTGGGTAATTCGACAAACCTTAACGGGGGACTCTGTCAGACGGGCTGTCTTCCGGTATACAAATGTAAGTAACAATAACTATTGTGGGTAAGTTAGTTCCGAAGATTGCCCGGCATGCTTTGGTATCACTGGGAGTCTGATATGCACTTCTCACAACGACTCGAACAAACCCGACGCGCATTCGATTAGGGCTTTATTTCGATTGGTACGTGCCCCTTATATGTAGTCAAATAACCATCCAAAAGGTATGTGACGATCGTGAAAATTCGGAAGCAAACATCTGTGTATTCTTAATTAGTGTAACTCCTAACACATTCGACTCAGGCTCACTCAAGCGAAACACTCCCTTGCACACGGGTGAGCTCGGTAGCCACATAGTTTTGAGACAATGGCCTGCATCTCAACGGCCTTTCCTGCGGCATCCAACTGACGAGCCTCACTCTGAAGCCAACGTATAGTGGATTGCGTCTTTCAGGATAAATCATACTTTTCTTCCAGTATCATTTCCCTTCGGGTAGTAGTGGCTGTCATGCAACTCACGTTGATCCAGCTGAGCATAGAAGTCAAACTGACAATATTGAAGTGCATTCATCGTTCATCTCGTGTCAGCCGATTCTGTTGATCATTCACCCTGTTCTGTTATAGTACAGTAATGATATCCTGTGTTTGCTTTCGGTTTTTGGTCCCCTAACATCGCGGTGCGGCAAACTCAGTAAATAAAAGTATCTTCAGTGTAGTTGTAGGATGTCATACGAGCTTCACGTGTCTTTTCGAGCAGGTTTAGAGAATCGCCCCGAAATGCTGCGGTCCTTTTGAAACAGTCACTGACAGTTCTACGAATACAGTGTTTTACTACTCTCTGTCCCTCTGCATAACTTGCAGTTTTCATTGTATCTACACGTCGCTACCGGTATTCTTCTTTCATTCTTTTTCTTTAACTTCAAATGTCCAAGTTAGTCACTTCTACTTTCGGATTAACCGCTTCACCTTATCAGTCTCCTTCGTCCCGAGTTTCAAGTGCAAGTTATTTGGCGTACTCCAGGTGATGATCTAGTTTAATGAATACCTGCTGAAGGTGTCGTTCCTTCGCACTGACGATGGTAAGACCCCCAGAACCTCAGTCATGCGAAGCCTTTTTCCTCATCAGAACTCACTAGGTGGATATTGGTTAGATCGGTCACAGTGGGAAATCTTCGCATGGCTGGAGTGCTCAGAATCCAGCTACAACTACACCGTAACTGTCTGTTTAAATTCAAGATCACTGCTCGTTAACAGCCAAACCCTTGTTGAGGATCGATGACGTGTTAGACGAACAATGGCAATCTGGCTGTCCACAGTAGTCCAACTGTCCTAACTTAACCAACAACTAGTTCGAACAAACCCCACCTTTTGCTTCATGCCCTTACAAAGATTTGCAGGCAATACTACTACTCAATTTGTTTCCGTTTCATCTTCTCTCCGGAATGGAACTCAACATATATGGCTAGATCGTCAAATTTCTATGGTTTCGTAGGCATCCATCTTATCCATTCTGCAATATTGTGAAAGTAAAAATTTGTGCCACCCATAGGAATCGATGTGCGGTTTGTTGACCGTAACAAAGGTCACATAGCTTCGTTATCAAGATTTTGCAGCTCTGACATGATGTTAAGCAACAAAAAAGCGGTTTTGTTATCCTGTTAGCCGAAGCTGTTGTGCCATAAAGTTGTTTTTGCGTAACCCCAGACAGCACTGACTCATTCTAGAATGTCACACGAGCCAAATTGCTTTTTGAAACGATCGATGTCAAGTGCATCACAATACATGGTCACGGTGGATGTGACTGGGCGCGACCGATGTAGCCCTTCCCGTACTGCAGTCCTGACTGCGTAGAGGACGAGTTATTCCGCGAATGAATGCAAAATAATGGTTTGTAGTCTCCATCGGCAGTCTTTAGACCTTGCAAAGGGCAGCATTAAGCAATACCTTGTTGATAAACTTTAGGCTTCTTCTGAGGAGTACATGAACTAAGTTTACTTCTGTGGTTGGTCCGTGGTCCAATCTAATGGACGGTCTCCAGACTACGAAAATCCAATAGGAGCCTCAATCGATACTCCCCGGAAGTTATTTCGATCCCTTGTCACAGTTACAAGGAGTGAAAACTCCGCTTTTTTGTTAAGCGTTTCACAACAGTCCTCTTATGCCTTACTCTGCTGCTTACCATGTTCCATCCTCATCATTGTCAGTTGTAAAAACCTCGTACTTGTCGTACATTGGTTGTAGCTGCCAAGCAGCAGCCGTCCATAGGGCTGTAAACTGAACAAGAAATGACAACAGATCTTCGGATGAGGTGCTTCTCTATGCTTGCTTTGGACTACCTCACCACGCAATGAATTTTAGATGTCAGAGTTGATGTGACCCTAGCTGGTGTGCACACAGGTTCTGCGTATTTAAACCAAATCGGGACTTGTCATCTTGTGTCGGTTGCTTATCAGAAACCGACGAACATGAGCATGTTATTCATATGTAATTTGTAGAACTGTTAAACTTTCACTCATGGATTTTAATCCCTTCAGATACAGTCAAACTGTGATGAAATTGCGAGAAACACTGTTTCACCATCAACGCCGTTCACCTCCAATCTTCAGCGAACTTGTAACCTTGATCTCCACATGACCGGTATCCCTTAGGGCATAATAACAAGGCAATTGTACCAAGGTGCATGCGTCTGTGGCCCCAAAAACTAGCTTGGCTCTCCTGAGACGGGAATGGATAGGCATCAATCAACCTCGACAAATACACTCATTTGCAAATCAGTTTGGTTTTCACAGAAAGCTCAAGTGAATCTCTCGTTTATGTTATTATTCAACCGAATGTGCTACACAAATGCCACCTTTTGTTTCAGTTGGTACGATATTCGAGATATCGCAATAAATTTTCACAAAGGAAACTACTCATAAGGTTTCTGAAAACTCTTCGAGTGAATGCATTTGTCGAAACCGTTTCAACTTGGGTTCGAGTAGAACATAAGGTTGACAGAAACTCTGGGATGAGCCCCAAGAAGGGCGAGAGCGTCCGTGGGCTGTCGAAGAGTTTTCAGCAAGATTGTTATCAATCAACCTGTTTTCCACACATCAAAATCTCGCGGTGAGATGTGGGATGACCTTGTAGTTCTAGTGTGACCATTTCTCACTTCTTGTTATTTATACGCCAATGGTAAATTCTAGGTCTGGTTTCTGATGAAGTTTACCACCTACTGACTGAAAATCATTCAGCTGCACCAATCAAGAATGAGATAATGGTTGTGAAACGGATGGCTTCATACTCTTATTACGAGGTCCGTGACTATGAAACGAGACTTGAGTTCTTGTGAATACCATGATTACTCTCTCCCACTTGACCACTTTCTATAATTCATTAATCTGCAAGGCAGATTGGGCCTCTTAAATCAGTCCTGAGAGTGCAAAACAGTAGCTCCGGTCTTTCTGTTAGTTTCCAAGTTTGTGGCGGCTTTTTAGCTGGTGATTTCTATAATGTCATTGATAGTCGGCTAACATGCTGCCAACTTCTGTCTACTCTAGCCTAGTCCCTTCTCAAATGAAGGGATTCTAAAGAGGGAAGCAGGTTTTCGTCAACTCCATTCATATCGGTAGTGTAAAAAATAGAGCTGATTGTGATCTACTGGAATTTCCATTGACACTCTCAATGTAATGGCGCTTGACGGTTACCACATAAATGTTGGATAAGAATCAACTCAGAGACTGTTTTAGAAAGAAAGAAGACTTGCGCTTTTGTGCTAATCTATCGCCTCATGGGCACTCTATTCTGACACTGCTCTAAAGACCGAAAATGAGCTCTGATTTAATTACAAAAGGGTCCTGGAACCACGTCGCTGGGTTGCACAGATCTCTACCGAGTCTCGTTATCACCGCTCTCTCCCTACTACTCTTCACCCCCTGGGTCTGTGTTGAAAATAGTTCACTTATTGTCCTTCTACGTGACTAAGAACAGATAACCCACAACGAATGCTGTGTTAACGTACATTCCGTATTGAGCGGAATCAATTTTTACAAAGAATCAGTTTAGAAAAAGGGCTTCCATTCTTCATAAAGGACACTACCCACAAGGTTGCTGAAAACTTCGACAGCCCACGACCGGTTTCGCCCTTCTTAGGGCTCATCAGGTAGGCACAGTCCCCGAGTTTCCGTCAACCTTTTTTGGTAAACTTGACTGTATAACATTCGACACCTTGAAGTTCGTGCGCCCGTAGCTTCGCGTGCTTGTAGTTTGCTGTGGTTTTGGGGCTTGATTTGCAAACCCATTATCAGTACACAGTTTAGCAGTACTTCAGCCTTTTCTGGTCCTGACTTTAACCAAGGCCTTTTCTGCGAAATGTTTTTGTCTGTATCTTTTGGTAGAACTGGCCCCACCCGGCAGAGCCCGACCGAATCACCATCGAGACACTTTTGAATGACCCTATTATTTATAATTACATATTTCTTGGCAAAATCGAGTCATTCATTTTTCGGGCCTAAAAATACTGTCGACAATACACGTCAAAATAAAGTGAAACAGACTGTTTCAAAAAATTTCGAACATGTCAATTAACCAATTCCTCTGAACCACCAATTAGTGGTCACGTTAGAACCCTGGAACAGGGAATAGTTCCTAAATTCTCCTAGGAAATTTGAAATTCTCGTGGCAGTTAGAAACGTACAGTCCATTCGAAGAGAGGACAGTGAGCTTTGTCCCACCAGGCGGGAAAAACTTATCGAGAAAGTACAGTGTGTCTCCACGTGATGGACACTTGTCATTTGTATGTGGATAGATGTGAACTGTCAAAAAATGGAGCCAATAATGTTCACTAATACTGTCTTTCTCCCT